CACATACATATTTATTTGCTTAATACGGAATTAATACCAATTTAAGCAAATAATTGACTGTTGTATTTTGTAACGCATCTCCATTGCCAAGTATACTCGGAAATTCGTTGCAACATACAACATCTCACCCTGTTGAAAGCAACAAATTATCAGTTTAACAAACTTTAGGTGATTACCTTCATGGCGACTCATTATTCAGAAAACGATGTAAAACCGAAAACCGAACTCCTTCCACTCCCACTCTGTTGCCTACGTTGCTATTGACCGTCTTGTTATTGATACAATCAGCTTTTAGTAAGTGCTTGAGCGCTTGATGTTTCACTTCAAAAAAATAGTTTTTGTTCTCTACCTCTTTCGCTAGATAGCGTAATAAGTCGTTGTAAGGTAGAAATAGGATATCAAGTAAATATGTGCACGAAACTTGTTTCTGTTTGCACAGGTTTATTTTTTATATAAATCGGCAGATGATACCAAAGCCAGTAATTTAATCCTTATAACANGGTTTATTTTTTATATAAATCGGCAGATGATACCAAAGCCAGTAATTTAATCCTTATAACACCTAACAATAAATCTGTAGCCCACCAAGTACTATGTTTTTGTAGTATTAGGTTATTATTGAACAATAAATGGTAACGATATTGTAGAAATCCTTAAAACAAATAAGTCGATCGGTATCTTCCTTTATCCTTCCTCTCTGCGTGTCGTCTCCTTTTCAACAGGACGTTGCTACAGCCGATGATTGGCCGTGGCCAATGTAATTCGATTAATTTCTTGAAAAATTCCTCGAACCAGTATACTATATTTTTATTGTAATTGTTGTTTGTAGATATAATGGAGTAACTGGATATAAAGAGAAAAAATGTACATATATTAATTACTATGTCATTCAGGACGTACATATGTGGGTTTTAAAGACTTTATCTATTGACTCCACATTGTAAGATATAACTGCGAATTATATAACATTCCCTCGGTAGTATGTTGTATACTACCGGCAAAATACTGTCACCTCGGCGGGCATTGCCAAAAATAAACTAATAAGTTTATGGAATCGAATGCGTTATCATCATGTAGTTAAAAATTGTATAACTTCCTTTATGCAGCACATTTTTGGCATCAAGTTTGCACAAATTTTAAATGTGTACATACATATGTACATGGGTTTGCTCACTTATTTGTTTGCTACCAGTAGAGATTTCTTTTTTAGTCACTCTTCCCTCTGGATAGCAGTCAGTGCACTATCTCTTGCCCCTTCCCCATTCGCAAATCAGCTACACACATTCCACTTTAACTTTTGCTTTTTTCCGTAATCACCCTTCCACTTAATGCATTCCAATTATACCAGCTAAATTCCCATAGATATGTTGCAAATCTACACACCTCCGTTTCTAGCCTTTAATTTTCTTTTTTCATTTGACTCGAAGAGAAACGATTAAATGTACAAAAAATGTTTCATTTTGCTTGCTATATGTACCTTCACTTAAATTTCCTTTCTTGTATCTTTCGCTTTGCGTTTGGGAAAAACTCAAACTTAACAAAAGAATCGGCAAGTTCTTTGTTTTCAGAAAGAATTTTCTTTTAATTATGATGTTCTTGCTTTTATTTCTGCTACATCTTCCATTGCGAAATTTTTATTTTTAACTCCTCGTCAAGGAAAGCTACAAAAAGGAAAATATTCAGCCCGTTCACTCGTTTCGTGCTTTGCTCGTGTCAAACGTCGTGCATTGTTCATCGGTTAAAACAGTGTTGTCAGTTTCAAAATTAATCCCCTATGAAGAATACCTAATTAAAGGCCCTGAAATGTAAGGCCAATATCAGAGGAAGCGTATACAATTTGTTTGCAGTTTCCGTAATACTATTTTATTCCCAGACACATTGAGGTTGTTCACAGCTGTCTGGTTATCAGGTTATCAGGTTGTCTGGTTATGTGGTTATATTTTTTATTCAGTTTACATCATTAAAATACACTACAGAATAATAATTTTAAACCAGATAACGTGATAACCAGCCAAGTGTGAACAACCTCATAGACCATTTAATAGCCCAGCGCGAAAACAAAACCTGTTATTTTTCATTTTTGACTAACAGCGCGTTTACATTGGACAATGCTGTCAAGACAATGAAGATATACGTATTAGTGGACGCATGCATGGAAAAGTATACATGTATTATTGAAAAAGTGTGCATGTATTGCTTTTGTTATGACAGTATTGTCCGGTGTAAACCCTAAGTAAGTTACGGCGCGTTTACATTGGACAATTCTCTCAAGACAATGAAGATATACCTATTAGTTGTCAAAAAGGCATGCATGGAAAACTTAGGGTTTACAGCGGACAATGCTGTCATGACAATAGCAATACATGCACACTTTTTCACTAACTTAGGGTTTACACCTGACAATACTGTCATGACAATAGCAATACATGCACACTTTTTCACTAACTTAGCGTTTACACCGGACAATACTGTCATGACAATAGCAATACATGCACACTTTTTCACTAATACATGCATACTTTTCCATTGCAACCATTTTGACAACTAATACGTATATCTTCATAGTCATGACAGTATTGTCCGGTGTAAACCCTAGGTAATGCATGCATTATTTTCCATTGGAACAATTTTGACAACTAACTTTTATGTATTTTCATTGACTTGACAGCATTGTTCAATGTAAACGCGCCGTTAGAAATGGCAAAATGTTACATCTGGGGTGTTCACAGTTCGTTCCAAATAGTGTCTCAAAATGTAGACGTCTACATTTTAAGACGTTTTCTAACCGTAAAATCTGTGGTGTTGTTGTTTCGCATACAAAATTGGAAAACGACGCCATCTACATTTTGTCACACTCAAAGGTATGTTTTTTACACGTCTACATTTTGCAACCTCGCAGCAGGGTTGCACTATGGCAATACTAATCGCATTTTTTTTATTTATTGGGCACGTTTTCTATATTTGCATTTAATTTGAGCGCAATTTCTGATGAAAAGAAATAAATCAAGGAAAGGAAATAAAAAATATTAGGAATTGGTAATTAAGTTAAATAATTACAATTTTTCAGAAACAAAATCGAAAGGCGACATATAAAAAAGCACGCAAAGAAGAAATGTCTGGCAACACCAGCAAAGTTTTGAGACGATTTTGCGACGACTGCTAGAAAGGGGTGCTCACAGTTTGATGCTAAAGCTGAAATTAGTCGAGAACGCAGAACGTATACTTAAACGCAGTCTTTATACGCAGAATTTCGTCGATTACTGGAGCCCTCAGTATTGCTTACTAGACTGTTGCCACTCATCTATGCCTTTTCATAAACTTAACCTATCAACTACAATTTTTCGTGCTATAATAGATTTTAGCTAAATACAAACTACTTAGTTTTCAACAAAAACCTTATTCAATAGTAAATTTCAAATATTTTAAACATATTTTGAATAGGAACTTATAACTTTTTTACCATCTGTAAAACTGACGAAGTGGCAACCATCTAAAGTAGGAGAAATCAGCTGACACGGAAAAATCTAAATTCCGCAGATTTCTGCGCTACGGGCTACAACTACAGAAAAATTCTGCGGTGTTGAGTTTTCATTTACATGGCGCTTTGGTAAGACAGATCGTGTCAGCTGACTCGGGCTTACGTACCGGTAGGTTTACGTTCTTGACTAATTTCAGCTTAAAGATGTCTCAAAATGTAGACGTCTACATTTTCAGACACAATTTGGAACGAACTGTGAACACCCCAATCTTTTGAGAAAAATGTGGCAAACTTTGAAAATTTAGAGATGTATGAAAAAATTAAGCTATGACCTCGGTTGATTCACATTCGCTGAAATATTGACCATAGCTATTTGGTTTAACTTGTTTTCATGTTATACGAGTACGAAATATATTTGGTATTAAACATAGTTCAAATTTTCTTGACAAAATACGCACATAAGTAGCGTGGCGTTGACCCTGAAAATTTGATATAACTTGCAGCTGCAGTTGCTGCAATGCGAATACATTCCCCACCAAGGCCGAATTATTGGCTTTACATTGTGCTATATGCTCGATGAGATTGCAGTGGCAAACTTTCTGGTTTTAGATATTTAATTTAGGTTAGATTTTTTGTTTGGATAATTAGACAATCAAGAATTTTAACACCAAGCTAAATATGTAATCGCTGGTATGAATTCGAAGATACACGCGTCATTGCACTTGGCACAAAGGTGGAACAAACACACACACCAATGGTTACAGGCAATTTAATGCACGCAGGTCTCACACTTTTCTTCGGAAATATATGTGCATATGATTTTGAATTCATAACCACGTTTATTTTTGTAGATTTTGGGATTGGTTCGTTTTATCCCTTTTATTTCCTAATGCGTTGCAGTGATTGATTGAACGCACTAGGTTTCACAACGCTCGCCCTGGCCACAAACCGCCAGTTTCTTTGAGCTACATATGTGAGTCTATTCCTGATAACTAATTGCACCATTAATTCTTAAAAACTTTAAAGTTTTCCAATTTTTTATAATTTACTTGTATATTTGTGACCTCGCAGACATGAATTTCTTCGGACTTTTCAATTAAATTTCCACTCGCGTTGCAAACGATGACAAATGAAAAAATCCCTCTTCACACTTCCCGCAAAGCAAAAATTGGATGAAGAAAATTTTTTACTTCCTTATTCTTGTTTATCTTTTTTACTATAGCATACTTTATATGTTCATTTGTGTTACACACGATCTTTCAATGTTTGTAAATAAATAAAATTCACTTTAACGAAAATTTTGAATAGAAAGAAAACAATTTTATTTCGCGACAAGAGATTATTTTCAATCTCTTGTGTTTTTGTTCCTTAATTTTAATTTGGTACTTTTCCAATTGAACAGGGTTGATACTAAATGTACAAAAGTACAGCATTGCCATACAAAATATGTGTAAAAAGTTCAGTGCACACTAGCAATTCGTTATCGCTAGTTCAGAGCAGTGTTGGCATTTTTGGTACAATTGCACATTTTTGATACATTATCGTTAACAATAGGAGTCTTCATTTTCTTTGTTTTCTTTTCAAAGAAAATAACATGGCGCCGAAATTACAAACGTCAGCCAGAAGATTACTTCTTTCTTTTGCTTCATCTTGTCAGATCTTGTGTAGTTGGATCATGACTAAAATAATGAAAAAAAATAAAAAAAATAATATGCGAATAAAAGGAATGAATTTCATCCACTACCTTTATTTGCTTAGGTTTTCTGCTGATTTTCGGCATTTTTAATTATATTCCAGCCAAGAGTGAGAGAGAAAAGATGGCGGGATGTGATGGAAAACACTAAGGGCCGGTTACTCAATGTCTGGTTAACGCTAATCCCCGGTTAAACATACACCCCTATTGCGGGTGTCGGCTGGCAGTAGATAAACGACTATTAAGCGATTATCGATTATCGATGCTATTGTGAGTGTCGCTTAATCGCTCAATTAGCAACTGTGAATACTTTTTAATCGCTCATCCTTCTATTGCTGTTTTTTAGTCGTTGGAGTTTGCGTTTATAAAATTTACATAAGAAAGTGGTACT